GTCTCGATCTCCTGACCTCGTGATCCGCCCGTCTCGGCCTCCCAAAGTGCTGGGATTACAGGCTTGAGCCACCGCGCCCGGCCAGAACCAACAACTTTTAAGATTTTGACAGCTTTGTTTCCATTTTTTAAATAAAAGAAAGCATTGTAAAGTTGAAGTCTTCATTTCTTTTCTCCGCTCAAGTTCCCTCCTTCCCTCTAATATAAGCAACAGCTGTCATGAATTTGGTGTGTGATATTGCATTCTATGTCTATACTTATATAAAGTATGTGATCATTTTAGGTTCTGTGGGATTTTGATTATTTATAAATATGGTATCACAATGTATATATAGTTCTGCAACTTGTTTTTTTTTCACTCCACACTGCTTTTGAATTCTTTCTACCGTCATTTATCCTTTACAACTACAGAGCTAGTTCATTAAGTTAACTACTGTGTATATTCCATCATTTGGATATCTACCTTTTATTTTCCTACCCCTCGACGGGACATTTGGGGTTTTTCTCAATTTTTTCACTACTGTAAACAATGCTGAAATGATCATTGTAACTGCAACATTTTTATTAGGTATTTTATGCACAAATTTTAAAGTCCATTAAATCTATTTTATAATATTTTTCATTCCACATGTGTTTTTAACATTATGTTTACATCTTTGGAGGCAGAGCAGGGGCAGGATCTTTAAACACACAACAAAAAAAGATTAGCAGCCATGTGACTTGGGGTTGGGGTGGAGGAAGTGTAGTCAGCTTAAGAGTGGAAACAAGGCCAAGCATGGTGGTGCGCGCCTGTATTCCCAGCTACCCTAGAGGCTGAGGCAGGAGGATGGCTTGCGCCCAGGAGTTCAAGGCTGATGTGGGCTGCAGTAAGTTATGATTGTGCCACTGCACTCCAGCCTGGGCAACGTCTGTAAGAAAAAAAGGAAAAAATGTGGAAAGGTACATAGGTAATGCCAGTAGAGCTCAATTGCAGAATATTGGCTGGAGACTTATTTTGCTCCTAGTACTGTGCAAGATATCTGGGTAGCATACAAGATACTATCGGAAAAAAAAAAAAAAGAAGATACTATCGAAAAATGAAATTGAATTCTAAGCTGCACAATGGTTTCTTTTTTTCTTTTTCTTTTTTTTTGCACACTTCTGCTGGCAGGAAGGGATTACAGTTTGATTATCAGAGCCCAAAGAAGAGAGAAAACAGAGATCTGAGAAGATTCCCTGGAAGAGCAGAGGCCTTAAGAGACTGAAAGAGAGGAAGGAGGGGAGGAGGATGGACCAGGGACTGAAGGCTGGGTGAGACTGTCAAAATAGTGCACAGATAATGACCTTTATTACTGTTTCCCATGAGAGTAAAATTTAAAAATTTCACAAGAGTTTGTCAATTAAAGAGGAAATTGAGTTGACTTTAAAAACTATATTGACCCTCGGCATCACTTGCCACAGACGTAGGTGGTAAGAAGTACGATGTTAGGAGAGCCAGAAGTAGATTGAGTATTTGGCTTCCAGTCTATTATTTCTACTCTGAATCTTTGCACAATCCCTGCTTCTGTGCCTGTACCAGATCCAAAGTCCTCAAATGGATACTGGAGCTGTTCAAAACTCACGACCTCACTTGCTAGTATATATAGTACTATACTATTTCCTACACCAGAAAACACTTATCAGAAACAAAATATACACGGGGAGGGGAGGTTGATTACATTAAATCAGATTAAATTTGGGTGTGCATCACACGTTCTTTTTTGTTTTTTGAGACGGAGTTTGGCTCGTTGCCCAGGCTGGAGTGCAGTGATGCGATCTCAGCTCACTGCAACCTCCGCCTCCTGGGTTCCAGCGATTCTCCTGCCTCAGTCTCCTGAAGAGCTGGGATTATAGGCATGCGCCACCACGCCTGGCTAATTTTGTATTTTTAGTAGAGACGGGGTTTCTCCATGTTGGTTAGGCTGGTCTCGAACTCCCGACCTCAGGTGATCCGCCCGCCTAAACCTCTCCAAGTGCTGGGATTACAGGCGCGAGCCACCGCTCCTGGCAGACAGTTCTTCTTAATTGTTTGATTCCACTGTCCCAATAGCCGTCTGTCCTTTCCTGCCCCTATTTTTACTGTCCCGCCCCTAGTTGGTAACTTGGTGGATCCTTCAGGCCTGCTTTTTTTCCCCCCACCAAGACTGGTATGAGATACTTAAGAATAGTGACTTTAACAACAGTTACCAACTTTTAATACAAGTGCAGTCGAGAGGGCAAATACTCAAGTTTGGGGGCGGCTAGCAGAGAGTCA